GGTAGCTCGCATTTCCGAGCGAGCGGCGGCGCCCGCAGCAACTGTCGCCCGGTGCGCGGGCGGGGAGGACGGCGGGGGACATGGCCTGGTAGCGTCCCCTGGGGAGACCGTGCAGAGTTCAGTCCGGGGCAAGGCAGGGCGAGGGAGGGACGGTCCTTCCCCAGTGCCCGCGCGGCCTGCGACAGCATGAAAAAGAACCAGACGGTGCAGGGCACCTTCAGCAAACTCTTCGGGAAGAAGCACGCCAGCTCCGCCACCACCTCCCTCTACGCCACCAACCCCCCCTGGATTTTCACCCAGGAGGCCCCGGAGGAGGGGACCAGGGATTTTGGTGAGTGCGCTCTGGGCACAGCGGAGGGCGCTGGGGGAGCGGCCGGCGGGGCTGCGCCCTCCCGGGTCCGGGCTCCGCGTGGCTGGGGCGGCGGGAGGCGCGGCAGGGCGCGGAGGGGAAGGGACACGCTGGAGCCTGTGGACTGACCGGGAAGGAGCTGCCGGGCAGGGGAGGAGACGCAGCCCTGGGGCGTCTGGGAAAGGGCCATGGGGGAAGAGGTGCTGGGAAGGAGGGGACCCCCCACAGCGAAGTGGCAGAACTATGCCGCCCCCACGTCGGATCCCAGCCCCTCCTCCCGGGCGTTTATTTTCTCTTCTTGGTGGAGCTGATGTTTGTGTCACTGTGGGCAGAAAGGCTTCCTGAGGTTTGCGGTGTCTCCCCCGCCCCGCGACTCCCCCCATCCCCCACACCTATTTTTGCCAGGTGAGAAGTGTTACCTGAAGAGGGGACCTACGACTGGTCTCGTCCCTCACCCTTTCTGCTTCCTCTGTCCCCCCCATGTGTACTCTCTATAACTGGGGGGAGGGGGGACAGGAATTCACTTCTTGTGCAAGCCCCCGGGGCTCTGGGCCTGGGGTGGGGGGTAGGGGGCTTCTGAGCCAAAGGAAGTTCACCCATTACTGCTTTAGCCCACTGCCTTCACTGTCACCATATTACCTCCACTGCCCGTTATGGCCACTGTGCTGGGACCCACAGAGGATGTCACAGCCTCGGCCCCTGCTGTTCGATTCAGTTCAGCATCCTGGTTGCCACAGTCGGGGTACGAGGCACCATGGATAGGAGCAGGGCAAACAAGATGTCTCCTCTCCCTGGCCTACGGATCTCGGACCAGGGGGTGAACAGAACTGGCCGTATGCCATGTAGCCCTTTCCGAGCCTATGTTTAAAAGATTAAGTGTATGAAGAGCAGAGAAGAGAACCAACCTCTGAGTGGAACTAGCATTTGAGTTGACGAGGAAAGGCATTCCTGGCAGCGCTAACAGTAGGGGCAAAGTCGAGGAAGGGCAGGGTGAGTCGGAGCATGGTTTAGGAACGTACTGAACACCTCTCCTTGCCCGAAAAAAGACACTGTGAGGCAAACGCTTACTGATCCCTTCGCAGGTACACGGCACCATTCAAAAATCTTTGTGTTGTTGATTCATTAAGTCCTCATCTAGAGACAGGTACTATTATTATCATTCCTGTTTGACAGATGAGAGACTGAGGCACAGGGAGGTTAAGGAACATGCCCAAGATCACACAGCTTTAAACGATGGAGCCAGGATTTTCCTAAATGTAGAATTCAATGATTATTAGTAGACTTATAGAGCTGTGCAACTATCACCACAATTAGGTTTTAGAACATTCCCATTACCCAAAATCTCCGTTATGAGGCAGAACCAGTATTTGAACCCAGGCAGTTGGCTCCAGAAACCACACTCTTAGCCAGCTTGCTGAATTAACTCTGTGGAGGAAGGAGATCCAAGGGTGAATCTGACTAGTTGGGCATCTGCCTTGAGAGCACCCCTACACAGACACACACACACACACACCACACTTCTCCCTAGGGGAGACCCCAGACATGCCTCTCAGGCACTTCCTCTACATTTTGCCTGGGCTGAGCAGGCTGCTAGGGGATCAGTCCCTTTGGTGAGAGAAGAGGGGCATGGTACCCTGTCACCTTCAGCCAACTGCTGCCTTCAGCAGCCTAGATGCAGTTCCTCCAGTTCTTCAAGGAGCTCTTCAACAGCTCCTCCCATTCCCCAGGGCAAGGCTGGGCCTCCAGCTGACTCAGCCTGACCAAGCCTACACATGGAAGGATGGTAAACATCCTGCACCCAACAGGATGGCTCCCCAGTGTGTCCATGGTGTTCCCTGAGGTGCCAATGGGTGTGACATCAGGCCTCCTCCCTGCTGTGCTTGGGGTTGGGGAGGGACCAGTGTTGGGGATTCTGTGATGGGATGAAGATGTCAGAACTGCCTCAGAGTCTTGTCTCTATCAATAATGTGGGCTAAACACTCTCTGGACCTCAATTTTTTCTTCTGTTAAATGGGGATGGTGTCCAGAATGCCTGTAGGATGACAGCCTGAAGTGGTGTATATGGCAGCGCTTTGAAGAGCATTGAAAAGAAAAGCTCTAAAGGAAGGATTGGTAAACTCTGGCCCTGACTTAAATCTGGCCCGTGGCCTGTTTTTGTAAATAAAGTTTTATTAGAACTTAGCCAGCTATGCCCATCATTTACATATTGTTTATTGCTGCTTTCATGCTACAAGAGAAGAGTTGGGTAACTGCAAAAGAGACTGTATGGCCTGAAAAGCTAAAATACTTATTATCTTGCTCTTTACAGAAAAAGTTTGATGACCCCTGCTCTAAAGAATGATTTGTTATTATCAGGTCATTCCTACCACTGAGCTGGTGGTATTCAGCCCTTGGAAAACAGGTGGTGGAATGACAGGGGGAAAATCAATGTAGGAATGTGTACAGGAATTAAAGAGTAACTACCTGCTTGCTCTGTGACTACAGCCATGTAAAAATCTTTTTGCCCAAACGTAGGCTGGATGCAGCAGGTAAAATGCAAACAGTCTTGTGAAGATGGTGACGAGCACATTTTTCTTTAAAGAATTTCCCTAACGTGTACTCTAGTAATTAAGAGGACTTCACTGAATGCAATTGCAATCCTAATTAAGCCTTCTGCCTTCCCCCAGCCCAAGCAAAGGTTTTAGAAGGCCACACAATTGTTTTTTAAATGCACGGGAAAGCAGAGATGGGGATCTTTGCAAATCCCATGATAAGGGACTGGGCTGCTACTGAGGCAAAGCCGCCAATAGCTCTGGTCTCTTCCCTTGCCTCTTGGATTAACTGAGCTAAGGTTCTTTATCTACCACCACTGCAGCCCACCCCGGCAGTGGGACCCCCTTATTCGCTGAGGGGCTCTCTTTCCTGCCCTGTTCCTCCAAATATAAACCACCTTCCTCACAACCACCTAGGACAATTATTTAAAATGCACATTCCACCTCAGGCACATGAAGTCAGAATCCCACAGAGCTAGGGCCCTGGCTCTGGGTTTTTAACCAGCTCCCAGGTGATTTGATGAACTCTGGGGTTTCCTTCCCTACTTGGAGCTGGGTCAGTCTCTTTACCCTTAGGACTCCTCGCAGAGCATAGAGTAGGTTCTAAATAAATATGTAGGGAATGTGGCCAGTTCCTTATCAGGAGAACCCTAGTGGTCCCTAGGGTGGCTGCCGGTTCTGGTGTCCCTGTTCCTGGGGTCCCCTGACCTTGTGTCTCAGGCCAAGAGAAATGGTGGGAAGCCATGAACCCCTGGAGCCTCGCATGTATTTCCAGCCAGGGCCAGGCTGGCACCAGCCTACCTACCAAAAGCTGACCTGTGCTTTGCAGGGGTGTGAAGGAGACTTTTGTTTACTCCTGTCCCGTGGAGGTGTGCTGTGGTTTGCCAGCAGTTCAGTACACACAACACACCCTCTCTGCTGTCTCATTATATAAGGGCCTCTTGTCGCTGTAGTTCAACTCCAGAAAGCTAGGCCCTCCCTTTACCCCTGCAGACCAGCTACAGGCTGCCCCTTCTCTCCTAGCCAATAAATTAATAATGATAATAATATCAATATCAGTTACCACTTATTGAACCAGCCTCTGTGCTAAAAACTACAGTTTTCTCAATTGAGGAAACAGACTCAGAAGGAAGGCTGGGACAGGTTAAATGACTCAGCCATTCCAGCTCGGGACAGCACAAACATTGAAGTGCATTCAGTCACCTGGGGTCTAGTTATGATCAGATTCTGATTTGCTCAGCTTCGACAGTTTTCTCAATTGAGGAAACAGACTCAGAAGGAAGGCTGGGACAGGTTAAATGACTCAGTCATTCCAGCTTGGGACAGCACAAACATTGAAGTGCATTCAGTCACCTGGGGTCTAGTTATGATCAGATTCTGATTTGCTCAGCTTCGGATGGAGAGAGGCTCTAATTTTCTAACAAGTTTCAGGTAAAGTCGTTCTGCTGCTCCACACACTTTGAGTAACAAGTCCCAGCTGGAAATAGAGGGTCCTGTTTGCTGTGCCCTTCCCCCTTCACTCCCCACAGTGGGGTCCTTTGAGCTGCCCCAACTGAGGCTCTTCCCTTCCCGTTCCCTCCTCCTCTACTCTGTGGCTCCCTGCCCCACCTCCCCTCCACCCCAGCCCAGCCTTCAGGTCCTACTGCCCTTGGACAAAGGCCTCTCTCTGGTGCTCAGGTCAGGCCTGCTGGGGCTTGCTGGGACAGACTGGCCTTTTCAGGTTCCTGTCATGTGGACCTGCTAATTAGCAAGGAAGGGCCTCATTAACGCCATTTGTGGGTTACATTCACATGGGGCCATCCCTGGCTGCTTCCCTGAAAGGCAGGGGCTCTCCTAGTGGCTGAAGATCAGAAGTAGGGGGAGGTGTCTTTTGGGGTTCTGGGTTACTCTGAGTCAAGGCAACAAACCCTGCAGCCTAAGGTTTCGCCCCCCAGGCCTCTGGAATCTGATTAGACCTGTGGCTAGTGCTCCTGAGGTCATTTGGAGACTGCTGGTGATTTGGAGCCCTACACCATTACTCCAGCTTTCCTCCCACCCCGGCTACTTCCTCCCCCCAATTCTGGGAAGCTTCCTGCAAAGTAGGTGTAATTATCCTCATTTCACAAGAGAGGACACTAAGCCTGAGAAAGTGCCAACTTTCTCAGGCATTACATGGAGGAGCTGAGATGTGACCCCAGGTATGATTTCTAGGCCCATTTGCTTCCCTGTAGGCCTCACCAACTTTCAGATCTCACTGGGGAATAAGAGGAGATGAAGGGAGGAACGCTGGAGCCCTACCTACATTCTTTTCCTGCTGTGCTGGCTGTGACCAGACCAAATTAGATTCTAGAATCAGGTTGCTTGAGCTTGAGTCCCGGCCCCTTTTATTCACCAGCTATGCGACCTTGGGAAGGGGACTTAACCTCTCTGAGCCTCAGTTTCCTCACCTGGAAAGTGGGAGTAATAAGGGTA